CAATCACATGGTATCACTTATACGTGGAATATAAACCTAAAAGCAACAAACAAACAGGACAAAGAAACAGAGACTCATGGACATGAACAATGGACTAGCAGTTACGAGTGTAAAGGAGAAGGGAGACGGGGTGGTAGACAGGGGAAAAAAAATTAAATCATTTAAATAAATAAATAAATGAATGAATGAATAAATAAATAAATGTTTATAAAATATAAAAATAAAAAAGTCTGAGTCAAATCAATATAATAAAAATGTTTTAAAAACAGGCATAATTAATGTTAGCAATGCCCATACAAGTAGAAAAATCATAAATAAAAGCAGAAACCATTACTACCAACAGCAGGAGTGGGAGGGAGTATTGATTGGGATGAAGCATGAGAGAGCTTCTTGGTTCTGTCAATATACACATGTGATTAGTTTGTGGTAAATTATTGAGTTGTTTGTTTATATTTCCTGCACTTTTCTGTATGTATGTGATGTATTTCATGATAAAAATAGATGAATTTTGCTATTTATAAATTTAAAATTTCTGAAGAGTAATAAAATAAATAAGAAGACAGGATAAATAAAAAAATCAAAAAACATTTACTTTATTCAAGATCTTGTTAAGAAAGTGAAAAGAAAACTGATCTAAGAGATAATATTTGCCTATCACATAGCTAACAAGGTTTTATATTTAGAATAAAGAACACTCAAAACTACACAGTAAAAGAAAAAAAAAATAGTCTGATGTGCAAAATACAAGAAAAGACACCACACTGTAGAAGATATATAGATGGTAAATAAGCATGAAAAGATGGTCAACATCATTAGCCATTAGAGATATGAAAAATTAAGACCTCAAAAAGATATTATCTATCTATCAGAATGACTAAAATAAAATATGACAACACCAATTGCTGGTGAGAATTCAGAGAAACTGGACTACTCATACATTGCTAGTAGGAATAGTCAGTCACTCTGGAAAATAATTTGTCAGTTACTTTGAAAAATTATACATGCAACTACCATATAGTCCAGCAATTGGTCTCCTGGGGATTTATCCAGAGGAATAAAAACATATGTCCACATAAACCTGTACATAAATTTTTATAGTAGCTTTATTTATAATAACCAAAAACTAGAAACAACTCAGATGTCCTTTAACAAGTAAATATTTCAATACACTGTTACACAACTGTACTATAGAATACTACTCAGCAATAAAGAGGAACAAACTATTGATAAAAGTAACAATCCTGATGAATCTCCAGAGAAATATAAATTATGAGTGAAAAAGCTATGCCCCCCAAATAGTACATACTATATAATTCCAATTATATAACATTTTTAAGTGACAAAATTATAGAAATGGTGAACAGATGAGTAGTTGCCAGTAGTAAAGAGAAGTAGGGACAAGAAGGAAGTGATTGTGAAAGGCAACATGAAGAATCCTTATGATAATGGAACTCTTCTATGTTTTGACTGTGTCAATGTCAACATCCTGGTTGTCATATTCTACTATGGCTTTGGAAAATGTTACCATTGGGAACAACTGGGTAAATGTTACATAGGATCTCTCTATTATATTTCTTAAAACTGTAAGTGAATTATCTCAAAATGTTAAATTTTAAAAAAGAATGAGAGAAAAACAGACAGAACAAGATAGAAAACAAGTTACCAGTATCAATAATAAAAAGAACAACATGTCTACAAATTATCCAGTTATTAAAGAATAATAAGTAGAAATTATGTGTAACTTTATGTCAAAAAAATCAACACCTTAGATGAAATAGTTAAACTCCTCAAAACATAGAACTTATCCAAACTGACAAAAGAGGAAATTAAAAATCTGAATAGCCCTATATCTGTTAAAAAAGTTAGATCTACAAATTAAAATGTTCTCACAGAAAAAACTAGAAGCCCAGATGGTTTGTTTTGCAAATTATACCAAACATTTAAGGAATAAATAACACAAATTTACACAAACTCTTCTATAAAATAGAGAAGGATGGAACACTTTCTGATTTTTTGTGGCCAGCTCACTCTGATACCAAACACTAACAAAGATATTACTAAAAAATTACTGATTATACATGATGCAAATTTTAAAAATAGCCAACAAATTTTAAAATATATAAATGAATAATATATTATTATCAAGTAGGTTTAATCCAAAGATGTGTCCAAAAATATTAGTTTAACATTTAAAAAATATTAAGAATCAAAAAAAAAGAAAAGAAAACTAAAATTATAGAAACAGAAAATGTATTAGTGGTTGCCAGAGTCAGAGGTGAGGAGTAGAGAAAATGGGTGAAGGAGGTCAAAAAGTAATTTAGTTATAAAATAAATAAATAAATTCTGGATATGTAATTTATGGTTAACAATACTATACTGTATATCTGAAAGTTGCTAAGAGATTAGTCTTAAAAGTTTTTATCACAATAAAACTTTATGTGAGGTGAAAGATGTTAACCAAACTTGTTGTGGTATCTGGGTGCAGACTAGCTGGGTGCATCTGATTCAGTTTCTCTCATAAACTTTATTTAAGCATAAACTGGAGGCACAGCCATCAAAAGGCTCACTTGCCTGATTCATTTCCTTGCAGACAATTGAACTAAAGCACTTTGTTTCTTGTTGGCTCTTGGCTAGAAACCTTCCACAATCCCTTGCCACTTGGGCATCTCTATAGGTCAGCTCACATTATGGTAGCTAACTTCTCTTAGAATGAGCAAGTAAGAGAGTCAGAAAGAACAAGCACCCATGAAAGAAGCCACAGTCTTTTTATAACCTAATTTGGAAATAACTTCCCATTACTTTGGACATATTCAATATTCATTAGAAGTGAGTCAATAAGTTCAATCTACACTCAAAGGGGAGGTGATAACACATAGACCTAAATATCAGGTAGTAGATATATTTGGGAGCCTTTCTACAATGTATAGGACTTGTACACCTAAAACTACAAGATGTTGCTGGAAAAAAAATTAAAAACCCAAATAAATGGAGAGATATGCCATATTCATGAATTGGAAGACTCAAGATTATTAACATGTCACTATATTCAACACAATCCAATCTCAGCAGATTTGTTTTAAAAATAAATAAGCTGAATCTAAAATTACATAGAAATGTAAATGACCTAGAATAGCCATAATAGTTTTCAAAAAGAGGAATGAAGTTGGAGTATTTATATTATCTGATACAAGGACTTATTATAAAGATAAAGTAATTAAGTTAGCAAGATATTGGAATAAAAGCAGATAAATGGAATATAATAAAGAGCCCAAAAAGGACTCTTTATTATATTCCATTTATCTGTTTGTAAAAGTCAATTTACACAATTGACTTTTGACAAAGATGCCAAAGCAGTTTTAAGGGGGAAAGAATTGTCTTTTTGACAAATAGTGCTGAACAACTGGATATTCATTTAGAAAAAAAATGAATAAATAAAACAACTATTTTTACTTCACACCATACATAAAACTGACTCGTGATGGATCATACAGCCTTTTTTATTTTAAATATAAAGTCAAAAACCCTAAAAGTTCTGAAAGAAAAAGTAAGAAAATACCTTTGTAATCTTGAAAAAACAAAAAAGGTTCTTAGAGCATAAAAAATAACAATTGGAGCTTATTAACATTAAAAACATTGGCCATCAAATGATATAGTTTTATAGAAATGGATTGGTAAGTCACAAACTGGGAGAAAATATCCAATATCTATATCTGACAATTCACTTCTATCTAGAACATATTTTTCAACAATTTTATAATAAAAGAAAAACAACTCAAGTTTTGAAAAAGGAAAAAGAGTTGAACAGATACTTGAGAAAGAAAAATGTATACCACTAAGCACATTAAAAATGCTCAACATCACTACTTTAAGGAAATATAAATTAAAACTACAATGAGAGACATAATATTCAATTTTATATGAAGATTTTTAAATCAGCAATTCTTATCTATAGAAATAGAAATTAGAACAATAGTTGCCTCTCAGAGGGTAGGGGATTGATTGGAAAGGGGTATCAAAGAAATTTGGGGCATATGAGAATATTCTACATCAGGACAGGATTGAGGGTTATATGGATGTATGCACTGTCAGAACTTATGAAATAGTATTCAAGTACATTTCAACGTACATAGATTATATCGTTTTTCTAATTACCAGTGCTTGGGCTGCAAGCTTAAAGAATTGAATCAGAATATCTAGTGGGAGCATCTTGAGCACCAATATTTAAAGTTTCTCAAGTGATTCTAATGTGCAACCTTGAGAGCTTCTTGTGTGGTTTCATGCTCTGTTCCTAACCCTACATCTGTGGCCAAGAAACAGAGGACAGGCTAGGTGTTTAACATAAATTCTGGAAGTTGGAATTCCATAAATCAATAGAATTGTGTGGTCTCAGACTGAAGAGTGTTGCTACACTCATCCATGAAGACCAACTTGGGGTATAAGAGAAAGACAAGTAGCACCAAAGACATTAATTGTTCCTCCTCGCTGAAAATGAAGGAATGGCAGAGAGTTAAAGTATGAGATGGAGCAAACATATCAAGGCCTCTGAGTTGTTCTCTTCCTAGGAGAGGAGAATTGTTTGGTACAGATGTACTGGTAATGTTGAGCAGAGAACTAGTTGTGTAGCTATGCACATGGGGGTGTGTATAGTGAATAAGAATTGATAAAATCAGGCATGTTCCCAGGGCCCCAAAAATGCAGCAATGAAATTTAAAGACAAGAATTCTTTTTCAATGTCTGTATATGTTTACTTGTCACACTATGTGCCCTGATTTTTGGTTCAGTTCCAAAAGCATGGATGAAAATATATTCATGATATATGCATGAAAATATATGCAGGAAGATAGAGATTCCTCGGAGTACTTTCATCATGTCTGATATCCAAATTCTCTTCTGCCGTGAGCATCTATTGACATAGTACAACTTAGCTTAATTTACATTAGTAAATATAAAAGATATAGAAATTGCCATGAATACTTACTTTGTATTTTTTTCACTTCTAGGTATTGTTTCATGGAGTTTCAGTGTGCTTAGTTACCCTGATGGTTAGCAGAGTTATTTTGCCAGTGGCAGTTAGTAAACTAGGTAAGCCCTACTAATTACAGTTCTCTTTGGAGAGGAAAAAATATTCTAAATATGCTAAACATTGCTAAAAATTAAGAGCCTCCTCTATGCTAAGCACTGTTTTAACTGATAGTGATGCATTATGAAGACAGACAAAATTTCTGAGTTGATGGAGCTTACATTGGAAGGAGGTAAACAGTCAATAAATGAGTCAAATAAGGTAATATCAGAGAGTCATGTGTATATCAAAGTAAACAAACCACATATAAATACAATAGAGAACACAGCAGGTGGCAGATCACTGAAGAAGCTGTAAGTGAAATTAGTATATGATCAAGGTCTTCAAAAAACCACTCTAGTTCTGTGGATAACTGATTGGGAGGTGTTGGGGTATACAGAGAGTAGAAGCAGAAACAGCAGTTTTAGGAGGAGGTTTGCATAATGCAGTATGCCTCTTTTAATCCCTTACTTTTTAACAATTGAGAAATTGAGATCTAGAGTGTTCAAAGTTCTTGCCCAAGGTCACACAACTAGGTGATGGCAGTTAAAGAACTAGAAACAAATTGCCCTGATGTGTTTAATCCATTATATTCATAAGTACTCTATCACTCTTTCTATTATACACAGAGTTTTCACTCTAATGGCATTTTTTATCAATTTGAAATTTCATCTTTTTGGATAATATTGCTCTACCCAATATCCCTCCTTTCTTCATAGTTGCAACAAAATCCTTTTTCTTCCCTTTTTTAAAAATTCTTTGAGCCTTAGCATAGTAAAATGGGAAGAACAAATTAAAGAGGTAAAATTTTGCAAAGAGTATTATATCTTCTACTTAGAGCTAAATAAACCTAAAATTCTTATTGTGGAACATCAGTGTACTTGCACTGAGAGCAGTGAACATTTGCTCATGGAACATTATTGCTTTTCAGAAAAGCTTCTATGGCCCATAGTAAGGTTCTTCAAACCTTAATGAGGTCTGGAGATACATATCTGGAATAAATACATATATGTCATATATACGTGATCATATATGTAGGTAGGCTATATATGTATATATACTATATATATATATACACACATGTGTGTATCTGTACATATCTATATCCATACCAGTCCAAAGTCCTGAGAACCAGGAAAAGCAAAGGTGTAAATTCCAATCCAAATCTGAAATCAAGAGAAGACCAATGTCCCAACTTGAAGACCAGCAGGCAGAGAGAGTGAATTTCCTTTTCTCAGTCTTTTGTTCTATTCAGGCATCCAGCAGATTGGAGGAGGCTTGCCCATATTGAGGAAGGCAATTTGCTCTACCCAGTCTACCAGTTTAAACATTTTCATCCAGAAACGCCTTCACAGACACACCCAGAATAATATTTAGCCAAACATCTGGGCACTCTGTGGCAGAGTCAAGTTGACCCATAAATTAATCATCACATCTTGGTTCCTCTGTCTTCTCTTTGATTGAACTGGGAAAAGGGACTTACCTCAAAAGTGGTCAGAATGATCAAAAGACTTAATACATGCGAAGTACTGAGAGGGGTTTTCTCAGCATATTGTAAGCACTCGATACATATTATTATTATTATTAATTATTATATACATCAGCTTTTGTTAGTGTTCCTATTATTAAACAATTTATATTGAGTCTAACTTTTAAAAAATACTTAGTACGATAAGAACAAAAGGAAGCTTCCTAATTCAGATTAAAACAAACAAAATTGTTCCTGCTATTTATAAAATGTGCTCTTTTTATCAAAGGACTTTGTGATGTCACATCAACAAAATATAAATCACTTTATTATACATTTCAACACTTTCAAGAAATAACCAAATCTGTAGCCTCCGCACTCAAATTTGACAAAGATCTTGCTAATGCAGATTGGAACATGGTTGAGAAAGCAATTAAACTTCAAAACCCATATGCGGTAAGTAATATATTTTGTTTATTCTTTCAAAGTACATACAATTGCCCTTAAATAAGTATAAATGTCAGAAATATTCACAATTTTAAATACCTATAATTGACAGAGCAGTTGTATTGGTAACTCCTTATTTACCACAATGGTAAAGAGGGGATTTTTGGAGAATTTTGTGATCCCTGTGGAGCAAAGTAGAAGTAACAATCTCTTTAAGTATATAGAAAACACATGTTATAAATTCAAAAGAAGGAGCAGTGTATTTAAAGTAGTGCTTTAAAAGCTGTCATGACAATAGGAGAGGGAGCCTTAGAAAATGGCTAGTTTTTTACTAGATCGTGAGTGGACAGGCACCTTTGTTTAGCATTTATTCAGCATTTATTTAGGCTATTATATGACAAACACTTGCTAGCCCCTAGTTTATGGTTAATATTAAGGACAGACACCTTTGTTTAGCATTTATTCAGCATTTATTTAGGGTATTATATGACAAATAGTTGCTAGCCCCTAGCTTATGGTTAATATTAATTTCTTCATATAAAATAGAATTAAAAGCCAGCATCATATGTTTAGATGTAGTTAGATGTCACCTCCTCCTTATGAGATATGCTTTAAAATCTCCTTGGTCAGATTTGTTCATTTAAGATTATGTAACCCATCTGTCAGTCATGATTGCCATAAAGAGAAATAATAAAAGTTATTCCGGGACCTTCTCAATTCTACGGCTGCTTTACCATCTCTTTTGTCATGTCTGGTTTTCACTGCAATGTTTTTCTGCATCATACAATATGAGCGGCCAACTTCTAGCTGTATTGACATAAGATAGTTGGTATTTATAGAATTCCCCAAAATCCGTTTCATATCCACAAACCAGTGCTTGAAGCTCCAGGTGGGGGCTCAGAACTAAGCCCTCTGCCTGCAGGAATACTGCCAGGATTTCTAGATAAGGTAAGTACTGAGCTACTGTAATAGCTCCCAATAGCTGATTGTGCTCTTTTGCTAACCTGGTTGCATAAGAATCATCTGGAAAGCTTATTAAAAATATATTGATTTCCTAGCTTTACCCAGGAGATTCTGATGCAGGTGTCCTGAGGAGAGTTCCAGGAACATGTATTGTTAATCCATTTACCCAGCTGATTCTAATGCAAAATCAGGGTTGAGGCCACCTCTCTGGTACTTGATCTGTTTCAGGAGGCAAATGATCAACAATTGATTTCTCCCCTTGATAATGCAGACATAAAAGACAGTACAATGTTACAGGTAGAGCACTAACCTTGGACTCAAAAAATTCTGGTTCATATCCTAGCTTTGTCACTTAATAAATAGCTTTGTGACCTTGAGCTAATCTTTTATTTTCTCTAAGCTTCAGCTTTTCTCATCTGTAAAATGAAGTTATCCATGTTCTCATCTAGTGCTATGTTCACTTTCTATTCTACCTTAAGTGATTAGTTTAAAGCGGTGGTCAAACATCAGCTGCAGCAAAATCATGGAATGGGTTTGTAAAAGCACAGATTTCTGTCCCATTCCCCAGAGTTTCTGATTTAGTAGGTCTGTGAAGGGATCTGAGAATATGTGTTTCTAATAATTCTTGGTGATGCTGATGCTGCTGGGAGACTACATTTTCAAAACCACTGGTTTAAAGTGTGACCTTATAAGTGGTAGAGTTTATAAACTGTTAACAATATCATGTAAAGGTAAAGATATCCTATAACTCATTCCCCTCAAAACTGGCAGTTATTTTATGTTCTAAATAACTGCAAACATTTTGCTGTATCTGGCAAATTTTCTGTAGTTTTTCAAGCCAAACTTGTACATGAGTTGCTTGAGGTTTATTAATAATATGTTTATATTTATATATTATTTCTTGGTTTTGATCTGTGTTTTACTTAGTTGAATCAAGGAGAAACACCAGAACATCAAAAGGTGACCTGTCCAAACTGTAACAAGGAAGTAGATGGGACCCTTAACATGGAAGCCTTGGAGCTGGCCAACAGGCGTCTCTTGTCAGCACAAATAGTTAGTACTTTATTTTACACTTTTGAAATTATTTTTGACCTAAAATTATATCAAAAACTTCCTTTCTTACTGAAGACATCTTGATTATGCTCACCTTCATAACTTAATAGATTGTTAAAGGCAAAGGGAATTAGGAATCTGCTTGACTGCAAAAAAAAAAAAAAAAAAAGAAGAAAGAAAGAAAAAGAAAAAAGAAGAAAAGAAAAGAAAAAGAATCCACTCTAATTAGTGTAAGCAAAAGATGTTTCATGATGAGGAATTGGGAATTTCACAGATCCCAATGGCAGGAATTACAGCTGAGTTCAACCTTCAGATATATTATGCAATCAGTTCCGTGACACTGTCCATCTCTGGGTCCAAGCCAGTTTTTTATGAAAGGATATCACCAAGTTCACTAATAACTGCAGGTAGAAGATAGTATGATTTTATCTTGGGTGAAGATTAGAGAAATTCTATAACACAGCAACATACAGGACTCTGTGGTTAATTGCTAATAGCCTAGTTAACATTTTCTGTCCAGGCCAGGATCTTGACTAGTTGCCATGACTCATCCTCTCAAAATGTTTGTGTTGGGCCTTCCTCATTGCACATGGAACCGTAGTGCATTTCTCAGCTATTCCAGCCATATAGAATACCGGACATTCTATTTTCTCAGTCTAACTTGGGAAATGGAAGGTCTATAGGGTATGATAGTTCTCTCTTCTGCAGTAGTCCTAGAAAAGGCAGCTTTTCGAAGGACCTAAATAACTTCTTTATGCAATTGAGGTAACGCCATGAAGGATGAACTTATGCCTGTATGGTGCTTTGTTCCACCAGCAGATTTTATGAGATCATGTCTTTGAGACCAGATTTTTAATTTATTTCACAAAAATATAGGAGACTATATTTCGAGTCTTGCTTTCATTATTAATATGATGTAAAATTCAGGACTTAATCTTTTTAGTCTTTTTTCTCTTATCTCTAAAAAAGGAAACTTATGCTAACCGAATAACCTCTTAGATTCTTTCCACTTGTGATATTCCATGTTTTTATAATATACACTCCACGTACCTTTTTGATTTCTTGTCTTAAATGTTTGTTTTTATATCTTTGTTGATTTTGTGCCATGTGTGGTTCTTAATCAGAAAACCCGGTTTTTCCATGATAGGTTGGATCTCTCTGCTCTGTGCTCCAGGTGTTCATCTCCCCTCATATCATTTCATCCTTAAATCTAGGCATATTTTCATGTTAATCTCTGTTGATTTGGTTTCTGCAATCTGAACCCTAATATTAATGTTAATTATTCTATTATAGTTTTCAAAGCTTCAAGATTTTTTATTTAAATCTCAGCCAGTTCCTATTAACTGGGGCAACATCTTCTCTACTATGGTTCATTAGAAAAAGAAGCACATCATGGCAAGACATGGTATAGGAGAGGCAGCATACCACATATGGGACAAAGAGAAGACAGTCTTTATATTCAGAGAAAACCGAGTTTCTAATATGATCTTGGGAAAACTACTTAAATCCTTGAGCCTCAGCTTTCTCATTTATAAAATACAGATTAGAATATTTCCTCATAAAGTTGTTGCAAGAGTTAAATAATTTAATGTAAAACATATATAGATCAGTAAATTAAACAGTATAGTAGAGAACTCAATAAATGGCAGTTAATTTTAGTAATCAACCGTACTCTAAATTCTTCTTACATTTTAGTGTAAATGATCATTTAAAAATTAACATTTTTCTAGTAACTAACTGCTTTGTCATCTGCGTTGCCAGGCTTTTGTGATTTTCATATTATTTTCAGCTTCCTTTTTTTCCCATCAGCTACAGTATTTATCTTTGAGGATACAGAACATATTTAAATCTCATCTTATAAGTATTTTAATTAAGTTTAAGGAGAAAAATAATACTCTATTGAATTGCTATCATTAAGACAAATAGCCTTATGTTCCCTCATCCTCAAATTTAGTTCTCCCTCTTTCTAGTATCCCTCTAGTAAAACCATGTTTTAATATCCATCAATTATTGTGTGGACAGAATGTATTTTATGGAATCCAGGAATCTTTAGTTATATCATACATTTCAATTTTGGAAGTTTGTCAATACAATGATTCTCAACAGTGTTCAGCACACTGAATCCAGGGGAAACCATGTCAGACAATGGTTTCCCCAGCATAAAACATAGTACCTGAAGCAGACTGATCTCTCAGTATACGGACTGAATTAATGAATAATTTCATTCTGCACGACACAAGCAATTAATTTAATGCTAATAATAGACTGAAGACAGCAGAGTTCTCAAAATATCTGAGAAAGTGGAATTAAATAAAGATGTAAACCAAGACCCTTCACGGTAGGATTTCTCAGATCCTTTAATATTCTAAAATGCACTATGAAGTTTTAAGGTGGCAAGGCAGCTTGTAGCTGTTCCAACACTTATTTGTTCACAGAACTCCACTTATTTTTTAAAATATAATTACATCTAGCAGGATCCTAGTTCCTACAGAACCTATTGGGTTCTACCCAAAGCTCAGACCTACCTTCTATACTGATCTCATGGCCTGGACTTTAGAGAGAGATTCTTTTTACAAAGATATTAGAATATTTGGTGATTTTGACTTCTTTCTCACAGATTATTTTGCCATAGGGAGAATAATAAGTTGCCATTATTATTCATGCTATATAATGATTCAACTTAACATTTCTTTTAGGCAAGCTACCAGAGACAATACAGGTCTGAGATTCTGTCCCAGAGTGCAGTCCAGATGCTGGTAGGTGCAGCAGGAAGCTTTGGTGAGAAGGGAGAGTAAGTATATTATCAAGAGAAAGCTTCCATCCTTCTAAGCTACTACTGCATTTAGGAAATTGTGCAAGTTATTTTTCTTGCTTTTGTCTGGTAATTTGTGATCATCTAGTATTATGTGTGTGTGCCACTGTCTGCTCTACACCCCACAATTGGGCCAAATCACCTACTTTTAGTTTTCTTAACTTGCTCTACTTGTTCACACCTCTATGCATTTGAACAAGCTGTTCCTGCTAACTGAGGTGCTCTTTTTGCCTCTCAAAGCTAAGCTGTGGTAAACTGTTCTTTTTTTTTTTTTTCTTTTTTTTAAGACTATTTAAATCTCTCACTAAGGTCAAAGACTTTCTTAATCCCTCCAGGCCCATCTTCTCAAAACACATCCTCTCTTAATATACAGCATACACTTGTAATGATTTCTTTAGATTTAGGTCTCTACAGAAAGCAATGAGTTCCTCAAAGTCAGGGTATTAGAGAGTACCCTTGGATCATCCCCTGTGGAAAGATGAAGGACGCAAAGCCCAGACATGCTTTCTTGTTCTGTTCCGCACTCCTGGTATGAAAGATGCCACAAGTCCCTGCTCAAATGATCCTAAATTCATTTCTAGGGTCTTTTAGGACCATTTCCCCTGGGCCATCATCTCACAAATGAACTGGGCTTTGGTGTACACACCTCAAAACCTAAGAGATGTGTCAGCTTGGTGTCTACTCACATGAACCACTTGTGGTACAGAGAGAGATAAAGCCATGTAGAGGAAGAGAAGCAGCCAGACACTAGAGCATGTTCTCACTATAGTTAAAGTACAGATTTTCAAGCCTAGCCATGCAAATCATTATGACATATTTGTCAAGATAGGAATATAAGCTATCATTTGAAATTTTGGTTTATTGATTAATAATATTTAAACATTTCATGTATAATACAAGGGCCTTTATGTTCCCTCTTGCTCCAGGTCCTTCAAACGCTTAGGGGATTTAAGTGGTGTTAGGGAAGTTGGGGAAGAGGGCTGGGCAAACGTGATCAATTTAAAACAATATGATATGTATTTTAAAGGAGGCAGATACAATGTACAGTGGAAGTTTTTAAAAGAAAGAATAAATGACAAGCTGAAAATCATTACCGCTCTATTGTCCAAGAGAGGTTAATGTAAAAAACAAAACAAAACAAAACAAAAAACAGTACAGAGCAGTTCAGCCCATTGCCTTGATTTTTCCTCTTTATATTCTCCATGAAGAACACATGACTATAAGTAAATCGTCACAAAAAGGAGGCTGACAGTGGGAGAAGGGGATTAAAGAGTTGAAAGGGCTCATAGTGAATAATGAAGGCAAATTTTGTACTATATTACATTTTTATTCATACAGGTGACAGATAAATATTGAATAGTAATAAGTGCAAAGCTATATGCCAGGCACTGTGGGGAATATCAAGATTAGAAAAATGGTGTTTCAATCCCAAGAACTTTCTACTAATGACATTCGTATTCGGTACTTACTTCTTTGCTGGGCTGCCTTGGAGTTGATTTTACCATTTGCTGATCATTGCTATCAGTAGCTCCATGTGTTGGGTCAAAAAGGGGTACCAGGACCCATGCTAAGTGCCTCTGTAATTACCTAAGAAATAATACTTTGAATGGAGGGCTTTTATTTGTTCAGGCCTGTGTCAGATATAGTCTTAAACATTTTACATATGTTACCAATTTTATATCTAAAAGTCCTATCACATAAGTGCTATTATTATCTTCATTTTAAAGGCTAGGAAATGAGGCACAGAGAGGTTAAATAATTTACCCAAGGTTATTCGACTAATAAATTACAGAGCTTGTATTTGAATCTAAGCTCTCTTACTATTCAGTTAGAAAGATCATACTGTTTTCCTAAATCAGGTCTAAACAGTGAACATGTTGATATAAAATAAGAATTCAGGGGCCTGCATTACTTAGTAATTTGGGCTGTAAAATGTCACACACTTATTGATATCACAGAATTTTAGAGTTTGTAGGAAATTGAGATATGATCACAGCTCAGATATAAGTTCCTTTAGGAAGGTTTTCTGATTCCTCAAGTCTATATTAAATACCCCGTCCTTATGGGTCCAGTGTGCCCTCTTATTTATGATCTCTACAGCAACACTTACTACACTACTGCAATTGTTATTTGCATGTTTTACTCCACCAGTCTGCTGGATCCTTGAGAGCAGAAACCAGCATCTGTTTATGGTTTATCACCAGCATTTATCAAGCATAATAGGTGTTCAATAAATATTTTTAAAATTAGGAATGAATCAAGTCATGTGTATATTCATGATTTTCCATGTAATTACCATGTTATTATATTGAATCACATAGAATTGAATGATTTCATTCTTTTCAATTAATCAGTTTGCCTGTAGCAGAGAAATGGCCCAAATTTCAATAGGAAAGGCAAAGTCCACCTTTAAACTTACGTTACCAATGACCTTCCATTAAGCCACTTTTTAAGGTAGGACCTCAGATCCAAGGACAAAGACAATGAAAGTCTGGTCAGCAGCAGGCAAACTCCTCATAAAACCAAGGGAATTGACTAAGCAAGACCAAATCATAGCACACTGGTCTAAACTGTCTCAATAGAAAAGCCAGTAGAAACCTACAGACAACTTGGGACAAGTGCCACCAAAATATCTTTTAGGGTTTTATTACCACTAACTTCTTCAAGTAACCATCTTAACTCTTAGGTTATCACTTCTATTTTCCTTATAAATTCACTGACTACTTGCCCAGAAGGTAAAAGAAGAGAAATGAGAGGATTTGTGAAATGGGCTGGATGTTTCATATATAATTTCTTTTTTAATTATTCCAAGCTAGCATAGGTATTTTTACTGTCATTTTACAGAGCAAACAAGTTAGTGAGGTAATGTGTTCATTGCCACACCAGATATGGGAGACCCAACTGAAAACCCAGAAGTATATGAATCTCAAATATATGAATCATGGTATGCTTTCTCTCCCTGAACCTTGACCTCTTTACTATTTTAAACTATGTATCTCCGATTTTTTACACTCTCCGTCTAATAAATGAGCCCTACAATATAAATTCATAATTATATATCTACTTGTATCTACTACAACTTTGTGACTACAACTATGTTCTTGAAAATGTCTCATTCCCAGTCACACCTGGGCAAAATAGTCTTCTTGCTTTCCAATGATATTGCATTAAACATAGTCCCAAAATTTTAAAGCATGTTCAAAGATTTCTTTTCTTTTGTTTTAGATATATGAGTCTTGAGACAATAAAGGCTTATTCTGAAAGCAAAAAATTTCTTAGCTTTATTAGAAAAGTATTGCTCAATTGGGTGTATAATACTAAAAAGGAAAAAGGGGTCCCATCAAGGTAAGTACTTTGAACCTTACTAGAAATGTTATTATATTCATTTAAATTCCTTTTTTTTTTTGTCTTTTAAAATTTTGTATTCTGAATATTTTCCAAAATAATTTGAAGTAGTTTACAACTAAGTTACTTACATGCAAAAATTACTTAAGGAGAAAAAGAGATAATATAATAACTTTTTATGTTTGAGTAAATTTCACATAACAAGATTAACCACTGACCATTTTTAAATGTACCATTCAGTGTTATTTAGTACATACACAATGTTGGGCAACCATCATTTCTATCAAATTTCAGTTTTATCACTCCGATACCCATTAAGCAGTCATTCTCCATTCTCCCTTTCCCCCAGCACCTGGATATCACTAGTCTGCTTTCTGTCTCTATGAATTTACCTATTTTGAATGTTTAATATAAATAGAATCATATAATATGTACCATTTTGTTTCTGGTGTCTTTTTACTAAGGATAATGTTTTCATCTGTAGTGTAGCATGTATCAATACCTTATTTTTTCTTACCCTGGACATACCATTGTATAAATATACCATACTTTGTTTACTCTTTCATCAACTGATGGATACGTGGGTTCTTTTTACCTTTTGGCTCTTGTGAACAGTGCTACTTTGAACATTAGTATTCAAGTATTTTTTAAACATCTGCTTTCCATCTTTTGGATATGGACCTAGGAATGAATTGCTGAATTACATGTTAATTTTATGTTTAATTTCTTGAAAAACCACCAAATTGTTTTCTACAACTGCTCCACCATTTTGAAATCAGGAATTATGTGTCCATCAACTTTTCTTTTTTTTAAGATTAGTATAGTTTAGGGTCACTTGCAATTTTATATAATATTTTGAATTAGCTTTTCCATTTCTGGAAAAAAAAATGTCATTGAGGTTTTTACAGGGATTGCATTGAATCTATAGATTGCTTTGGGTAATATTTTTATCTTGACAATATTAAGCTCTCCAATTTGTGAACATAGGCTGTCTTTTCACTTATTGAGATCTTTCATTTCTTTCAAGAAGTCTTATAATTTTCAGTGTACAAGTCTTCAATTAAATTTAATCTTAAGTATTTCTTTTCTTTTTGATGCTATTGTAAATTAATTTTTTTAATTTTATTTTTGGATTGTTCATTTCTAGTGTATAAAAATACAACCGATTTTTGTTAAATTGATTTTGTTTCCTGAGGCTTTGCTGAATTCACTTATTAACTCTCAGTGTTTTCTGTGAATTCTTTAGGATTTTCTGTATATAATTTCATGTCATCGATGAATAGAGATAATTTTACTTTTTCCTTTCCAATTTGGATGCCTTTATTTTTTTCTTTGATTCAATAGGTGTATCAGAGATTGTGTGTCTATCTTTAACCTAACACACTCAATAAATATCAAATGGATAGTTTTGTACTAAGATTATTTTAAAGCTTTTAATACTAAATTAAGATACAAGTTTCTGAGTATTTATTTCCATTGTTGTAACTGAAGGAAAGGGAAATTTGAAAGACTAGAATTGATAGTCAATGTATCCTTTACACTATATCCAAAATCCCATTCATTTCAAAGTTGGTAGTCCAGATTCTGGAGTCACATATTTGGTTTAGAATCCCTGTCTCCATCATTTATTATCTGACTGAGCTTTTCAAGTCTCAGTTTCCTCATTTGAAAGACAAGTATAGTAATATCTATGTCATATTCTGGAGGCTAACTGATATATGCAAAGTATCTGACAAAGTAACAGACATACTGTAGGTACTAAAACATGGTATTTGGGCTCTCCTCTGCTTACCTCATGGGATTGTTGTAAAGATTACATAGTGTGTAGAAGCACTTAGTCTAGGAACTAGCACTGCATAAGCAAGTAATGAATGTTAACATTTATTACTAAGTGCTGAATAACATTCCATGCAAAGCTGAGTCCTCTTGCCAATGGATGAAGTCACTATCAAAGGTCAACAAACACACAAGGAAACACATAACCATGAAAGAGAATCAGCACAAATAACAGCAGATTTATATCACTAAAACTCTAGTTATTGAATTATTCAGTATAGACTATAAGTTTTACCGAAATGTTAAAATTCGTAAGTGATGAAATCACAAACACGAACAAGTTCAATCACCAAAAGAAACTAAACAGAAAAATGTAAAATATATATATAATTCTTAAAATTAAAAATTGAACTTTATACAGAATTCAATAGAAAAATTATTATGGTATATCTAATTTAGGGAGGTGCAGCTAGAGTTGAGTAAATAAGAATAAATGCATAGCATGGATAGGGCTTCTGTATCAATATCAGGGCCCTGATAGAAAAACATCAGGAACCTGAGATGTGAAGTGATAACACTTGGGTAGATAAACCTAAGGTTGAACCCCCATATTCTCATCAACACTCTGGTCTGGCAGAAGCAGCTGCCTCTCCCCTCCTAAAGAATAATAGACTCCTATCACCTTCAGATGCTGCAAGACATCACAAGATGAAGCTTATCTTTGTTTCAAGGCTAGTCTCTACCACCATTCATTGCTTCCAAGGTACTCAGGTCAGATCTCAACACAGCTAAAAGGAGAAATATAGTGCCTACTTCAGGATACTACAACTTATCAACTGAAGAAATTACAGAACCTGACTAATACCAGTAAACACTAGTAGAACAATTAAGGGAATTGGACCAGAAGGTTGCAACATAAGTCCAGATTGTGGAGAATTTATTGGCATGATAGTCTTATCCATGATGATTTAGGGTTCAATATTCTGTTAGACACTTGGAGTTGGTACTATTATAGTCCTGGGATGGTTCTTTGACACTTGACCAGGCCAATAACCTACAGTAAATGAAGTATAGATGATAAAAATTGGTTGGAGTGAAGAACCAGCCACATGACCTTTTTCCCTGGGAAGACCTGAAGGACGTCTCCCTTCACCAAAGCAACAGTGAGAAACTTGATAATATATATCTTCTGCAAGACATGGTTGACGATAGCCAAGACCACTGTAGAACTGATCTCTCTAGTGTTGTTCTCTCTATTTGGGAATGGTAGAAGACAAATGGCAGCACTTAAATGTCAGAGGCAAGGTGGGCATATGTTATTTTGTGAACAGGAAACCTGAGGATGGCTAACAAATAATGTATGTCACAGGGCAATATACACAAATAGTTAACTGCAGTGTTACTTGACTTTGCTAAAGATAGAAAGCCAGTTGCCAAAGGGATGAGATCACTCACTGCAAAAGAAAATCACAAGTTCTCACTCCTTCTCTATACCTAAGTCAGCTCTCATCCAGAGTCCTTGAGAAAGAATTGCGACAATACCACTAGTGTATAGAAAAAATATTCTCTCAATCTTTTTTCAAATGGACAATTAACCACCTTACCAGAATTACTGTGCATTGGGAAAAAGAGAATACCCTAACTTTTTTAGTACTTTGGGATATGGCGTTTAAAATGATACTGATACCAAAAGCTTGAAATGCTATCAGGGTGTTCAAGTTAGACTGGGAGCTTTCAGGCTAGATGATAAATAGTTTCTGACCCAGTCTATCTTATAGAATTAGAGCATTTTTACCATGTGGTTATTTCTGAGTCCCTAAGTGTATAATTGAGATAAACATACTTAGTATGTAGCCAAACACTCACATTGTCTAACTGACTTATAAAATAAAAATCATTATGGCAGGAAGGTCCAAGTGGCCAAGTAAAACCCCTGGCTAAAATAGTAATAAGAAGCAATATAGCATTCCAAGATTAAAAAATTAACACCGACTTTAAAGATTTAAAGAAATTATGAGTTATTCCCATCATATCCTTTTCAATTAATCTATATGACACAGTTTAATGACAGGTTTATACATGTGTTCATAATTTTATTTATTTATTTATTTTTGAATTTTTTAATTGAAGAAATGATTTAAATTTCTTTTCCCTCATCTACCTCCCCATTTTTTTTAGAATAAGATTCTAAATTGTAAAAGTTTCAGGTTCTAAGTAACATAGATCTACCTCTGAGAATGGGGAAGTGATCCAGTATTTACCCAACTTTCAAACAGTAGTTGATTAATCATTTCTTTTGCATTTTAACAATAAAAATACATTATTATAGTATTTGGATAATTAAAAAATAAAATTAAAAATACATTAAGTAAATTCTTTTATTAACAATTCCACTCTCTAGCATACTTGGTACAAAAACTATTTTTTAAAGCTTGTATGTTAATTTAAATTTTTTGATAAAATGTGGACCCATACTGTTCCACCACCATGCATTCTGGGATTTGTTCTCAATTTTATGCCTTGACAAGGAAAGATGCTCATGATACATTGTTAATAGAAAAAAAAAAAACCAAGTTGTAGAACAATATGTATGGTATAATTCCTTTTGTGTTTATAGATAATGATTGCATAAACAAAAGGATTGAAACAGTATTCAACCTGTTAATAGTAGTCATCTCTGAGAAGTGGAATTATTGGAAGGTGGAAGGGATTCCCTTCATTTGCTTTTTTAATATTTCCAGTTTGAATTGTCCCTATCTTATAAATAAAAGTATTTATGTTAAAGGTAAAGTAACAAAGAATGAAAGGTGAAGGTGAGAAAGAAAGAGAAAGCCAGCATCAAGTGATTTAGCAGAGGAAATTAAAAGGACGATCTATGAAGTACGATGCTAGACAATGTTAGCTAATGATGGCTACTTCTCAGAATTAGCTTGGCTCTGTAGCTATTGATGATTAGAACAGAACTGAGAATATAATGAAAATAATTCAATGTCATTCTTTTATCAGATAAAACTATCTCTCTCTCTTGTTTTTACAGATATTACTTTCTTCGTCTATGCCATAAAATAGTATTTACTGAAGAATTTGAGTGTATCGGATACCTTATGATACTAATGAATATATTCCCTCTTATAATTTCTTGGATACCCAGGTTAAATAATATCTATGACAATGAATTAAGAAATTCTAACCACTTTTTTCTTTTATTTTATATTCTGGAGGCCCTAATTAAGGTAATCTAAAGTGTGTGTGTGTGTGTGTGTGTGTGTGTGTGTGTGTGTGTGTGTGAGAGAGAGAGAGAGAGAGAGAGAGAGAGAAAGAGAGAGAGAGAGATCTAAAAGGGAGATTTTCTCATTTCATTTTTCAACATTTTTTAAGAGTGTATGAAATTCTTTTCCACTTCTCAAACAAATTTTAATTTTTAAAGGTGATTGTGTGTATGTGTGATATCTAAAAGGGAGATTTCCTAACTTCATTTTTCAACAGTTTTTTAAGAGTGTATGAAATTCTCTTCCACTTCTCAAACAAATTTTAATTTTTAAAGGTGATTTTTTAGGGTGATTCAATAGAACATATCCATACTTTAATGATTAATTTCATATTTGCAAAAATATATTTTAAAATAGTGTTTGTCAAAGGGACCCAGAATGAATTTCACAGGTATTTGCAATGTTCTTAATAAACTTAGCAGGACAGTGAGTACATGGATGCTGGTTTTATTATTTTTATACTAAATAGATAAACATTTGGATAGGTAGGTTGATAGATATTCATTCATACTTGGAAAGGTATCATAATTTGATTTTAAAATCCAATATAAAGGTAGTTGTTAAATAATGGAAATATACACTCATAAATTGATAAAGTATTATGTCATATGAATCAACGAGTTGTAATATAAAATGTTTTAGCCAGAAGATTTAAGTAGAAGAATTATATCTGATATTTGGACAAAATAAATGAGTCTCAAACTTTTACTAGAAAATTAAAATGCTACTGCAGAGCCATAATATTGGGGAGGGGATGGATTTCCAACTGTCACATGGTATGTAATAAATCTCAAGTTAGTTAGAATGACCATAGGACATTTCATATATTTAAGAAGAAATAAAGCAGTTAAGGTTAAGGTTAGTAATAAGGCGAAGGTAAGAGTAAAGAGTTCCCTGAAATGTAATATGTACTATAATGGAAAGATCACTGAGCTGGGGTTCTGTAGATTTGACTCTAGTTTTAGTTTTCTCTCACAAACTGTTAGCTGTTCACAAGGTCAATGAACTTCTCTCAACTTCAATTGTTTTCTTCTATAAAATGTCAGGGTTGGCCTAAATAATAGACAAAGATCCCTCTAGCTCTATTATTCTTTCTACTTTGTCATAGCCATGCATAGCCATAGCTTCATTCAATCAGGCCCAATTAAGACAACAACATTGGACTGTAGACACATGGTTCTACTTCATAGCTGAGAGGATACTCTTAACAGTGCAATCCTGTTTTTGTCTTTCCCTCCTACTTAAATCAAGATTCATTCTCACTGCCCAATTTGCAAACTTGCCTGCACTTGTCATTTCTTTTGTCCTCTTTTCTATTTGGTTCAGTTCTGCTCCTTTGTACTGTGCCTTTTAAAATATCCATTATGTTAATAATGATAATAATAAATGATCACTTATCAAGTACCAGCCATTTGGTTATAACATTTCAAATTCTTAAATTAACTCTTTAAGGCAGATGTATATTATGCCTTCCATTTTACAGGCAAGAGACCCTAGCTGTTCCTCTCCTGTGGCTGTATTCTAGTGACCTCAAGATAACTCCTTCACCTTTCTGAATACTTGATATTTGGACAAAGTCTTTCTCTTTATACTGATCCTTTCAAGTTCCTAAGAGAATGATCCAACCTATACTATTTCAATAAGAAGAAAATGAGACATCTCCAGGGGCTAAATAATGACGTGGGCAGGATCTCACAAGGCCAGAATCAGGTCATTCGCTTCCTAGATTCAGACATTAAGTTTCCTCAGCTCGGCCAAATGGGAGTAGACTCAAGGGAAATGACTCTACTGCTAAACACACAGGAGTCTGTTGACAGACAAGCATAGCAATTTCTTAATTTATAGTGGAGCATATGCTTTCCCTGGGACATGAATATGTCTGCCTCCTACATTTTCTTTGAATCATGGAGAGTAGGAGCATCAGGATACTAAAAGAAGACAAATGAATCAAAATTGCAAAATGAATATCTTAAGTATTATAATAAAGATAAAGGACTACACAGGGCATTAAGGGAAAAAACAGGAGTTCTTTACACAAAATACTAATCTCAGACAGCATATTTTTTTAATGTATTTTTTCTAAACTTACTCTTTTTTCAAAATTCCACAGGAAACCTAATTTCCCAGGTTGAAATCTAGAATATCTTTGACATTTCCCACTCTCTTACATATAGTAGGTTTTCAATAAAAGTTTTTTGAAATAAAAAAGGAATGAATTAATGAACTACCATAAAATAGTAGGTATTTTGAATATTTTCTCATTTGGAATAAATACTTCAATATTTTAACCATTTAATTTCAAATTAATATGATCACTTCTAGTATTTCAGAGAGTTAGAGTTTTAAGGTAGATCAGAGAAAAATCTACCTAGTAATGTTTCAGTTATTGTGGAAAATGGTATAGTAAATCACAAACAAACAAGATAATGTGTGTTTTTTTTTTTAAAAAAATCAACAGATAGCAGCAATGAGGAAAGAATATTTTTTACATACCTGGAACCTATTTGAATTAATAATTACATTAATTGGCATCATAGATGTAATACTTATTAAGACACATTCTACTGGTCATGCTTTTGATTTGATTCAAATGGTAGTCTTTTTAAAAACTGTTCGACTTTTTCGCATACTACGCATTTTGAAGGTAAAAAACTATTTAAAACTATTTAAAATCAGAAATTTCAAATTTCTTCTGACTGTTTTGTATAATACAAACTAAAATCAGTTGAGTAGTTTTATGGCTTCCACTTTGTATTGATCTGATGTTTATATTTTAGATTTTAGTTTCCTTTTGACAAATTAAGTTTTATAACACATTATGTTACAAATATTCAAATTATATTAGAAATTCATGTCAGTTACACTAATGAGCATGTCATCAATTAAAATTTGTACAGTTCATATTAAATAGTAGTCCTCTTTTTTTCAGCTAATAACACCAAAGTTGCTGCAATTAATAGATAAAAAGATGAGTCATCAGATATCCTTAAAGTATGCTATACTGAAAGGATATGTCCAAGGTGAAGCAGATATAATGACTATAATTAATCAGATTGCCAATTCTAAACAGGTTAAACAGGTGAGAAAAACTTTAAATACTAAGAAAAGAGTTTATTTTCCCTACCCCTCAGTTGCCCTCACCTATCATGTCCTCTGTCTATATATGTAGATGTGGTCTTTCACTCCTGGTTTGGTAGGTAATTTTTGTAAAACTTTAAACTAATTTCCCTTTAGTTACCCAAATGCCTCCTCACTGAAATGTCTGTGCCATATTAGCAAGTTAAAAGGCTCTTGGAACATATCTTTCAGTCCTTGTAGAGGTGATCATGAAACCCATGAGCAGTGATTGGTTCCAGAAAGAAATAACACTAACTCATCCAGAGAGAAACCTTGTCTAATTCCCTCATTATGCAGATGAGAAAAATGAACCCCAGTGAGGTTAAATGATTATGTCCAAATTCACATAGTTGGTAAACAGAGAAGAGAATTCTAGGGCCTAAGTGCTAGCTCTTATTTTTTATCTTCTTGACTGAGGTAGATTAACACTGATATGAGCGCGCGAGTTTGTCGGCTGTGTCAGAAATTAAATATTTACCTTTCAAGGCAATTTAGTACATTTAAATGCTGTATGTTATATGCCCAAAGCTTTGTACTTGAGAAAGTTGAATACTGAATAGGCAGTAGAACATAAAAAGCAGTATCTTTCTTCTCTTCACCATCTGTAACTTTAAAACTATTTTCCCAAATTTTGCTACCTTTTCTAACCACTCATATCTAGCACTGGAATTTGAAGATTCAGAGTAGAAAATACAAAGATTGACTCTACAGATGTCCACTTTTAGTCCTCATCTCTGCTCTCACACAATTTGGCCAAAACGTCTAACTCACTCAAGGTTAAAAGCCACCTTTGTGTCCCAAATTTGGAGGCTCCCATAAAGTTGAATGGGAAAGTACCTATCATACCTTCATTTTTCAGAATCAATAATATCCTAAAGCAAGTTACTTTAAGAAAAAATATATGATTCACCTTCAGTCTTCTCAAAATCAACCTAGGGAATGCCACTCCTTACCCTCTCCACCACCCTTGCTGGAGCAAAATAAAATTCAGTCCATAAATTTCAATTCTAATCCCTGAAAAGTTCTCCATAATATTTTTCTTTAGTTATTAATTTAGGTTAAAAATCCATTAGTTGCAAATGTCAAGACATTTTATAACAATTGTTTTCCAACGGGGATAATGTTTCTTTTGTTTCATAGATGTTATTAAAGAAGGTAACAAGGAATACGGTACATGCTATGAAAGAGCTAGGTAGGTATCGCTCACCTTAAAGATTCATGACCATCTCTTATCATCACTACTTCAAAGAGGCAATGGTTTTGATAACTAAACTGGTCTTTGAAGGAACCTACTTACTATTAAGAAAGTGGATAACTTCAACAATCAACATGATGATATTTTTGGCTGGATGGAAATAGTATAATATTACCTCTCCAAACCTGATCTCTCTACACTATGCCATAATTAAGACCTTTTAATTTCAGTTTAAAAAAAAAAAAAGACACGTACATTTTCATGACATGGTTACATGTTATCATCACTTTATAATTCTATTTTCCTCCAAACCAGCAGTGCTCATATCTTCTTGAGCAACAACAACAACAACAATAAAAAGTTATGTTTTCCTTCCACTTGCCATAGAGCTGCTGTCTGAGGATTTAGGCTTTATAATGAGTTGAAATCAGAACAGTTTCACAGATCCGTTATGGCTGCTAGAAGGCTGAATGCCCAAATGTGACAACAGCCTATTATCTGAATCATGTTGGCTCATGCTCCCAGTGCAGGACAAATACCAGGAATAGGACAGACACACTCCTATAACATAATGTTCATGTGTTAGGAGGAGGGGTTTGGGTACTAGATGGTGGGCAGCAAAAGGACACAACTAGCCTGGAAATGCGACGAGGTTTGAGATATCTTGCATGGCAGACAGCTGTCAAGCCAGACCAGAAGTTACGAGCAAGGAAAAGCTCAAATGTACAATCTAAGAGGATGACATTCTCATGGGAATCCAGGAATCCAGAACAGACAGGCAGAAGAGCATAGATAAATGAGGTATGTGGATGCAGACAGGGTGAGTGGAAAATGACTCTGGCTGAGTAAAAATACTTAATTAAAAACCATATCTAAGCACACAGTCTGTAATCAAAAATCCTGATTTAAACAGAGTAAAAAAACGGGTCATAAACTCCAGACCTAGAGCCCAGATCCAGTGCAGGTGGATTGGTATAATTATTAATCATAAGATTGAAGCTATATGTCTTTTTTCATAGGTTTAGGCAAAAGAATGAGTTGATGACAAAAAAAAAAAAAGAAAAGGCAGAACTCTTCAACTACTGGTGAATTACGACTGATTACAGAGGCCTCATCAGTAATAGAGATATGTTTTCCTGTGTTATGGGCTGTACTCCATGAGTTTAGAGCAGAAATATTACCTTATCGTCCAAATGAAATATATTTAAAATGTCCTTACTTTATCTGAAAATATTTTGTTATTTTTCAGGCTACTTAGAGTGTGATCACCCAGATATTGCTGTCAATATGAAAACAAAGGAGGAGATTAATGTCATGCTCAATTTGGCTAAAGAAATTATTAAGGTTTTCAGGTTAAAAGGAATTCTTCATAAAATTGAAGCTTCTGAAATTAATAAGGTGAGATGAAATATCTTCAGAGTAAATAGTTGATATATTGACATTTACTATCTTCAAACCTACTTTTGGCTCTTTCCAATATAGGCCATCCCTGAGATATGAATTTCTAACTTAAAATAATTGTCTAAAAAAAGCACATACACTATAGAGAGTTTCCTTCCTGCAGTCCAGTGGTCCACTTCTCTTTTTTATTTTGCAGTAGTACTGAGGACCTACTTCTTTCTATGCTTTGCTCCCATACTAAGGCTATGATGAAACTGCTTCTCATCCTAGGGCAAAGTGGATACCAATATGTTCCTGGAAATTTGTGACATTGAAACAACTTTTCCCATAGAAACCATAATTTATAAGAACACTGATGATAGGGTAAAAATTAACTACATTTTCTTTTTCTAAGTTTAAATGACACCATTGTGCATAAAAAGATAGAAATTTCCAATTCATTCTATAAATACAAAATTCAGTCCCCAAATTAGGAATCATATAAGAAGAAAAAAATAAAGTTATTATGCTTCTGAATACATATGCAAAACTTCTTAACATAGTAGTAGCTACTTAAATCTGGCAATATATTAAAAGCATATTATGACTAAGAGAGTTTTATCTCCTAAAATAGCTATATATTCACTTACTAAGAGATTGAAGAAGAAAAACCATTTGATAAAACTCAGCCTTCATTTAGAATGTCCAAAAAAAATCTTACAAGGCCAACAAAAGAAGTAACATTCTTAAATGCATCAAATGGTCTCTATTAAAAATCTGAAGCAAACATGGTTAAGATGACAAAACAGTTAGCTGTATTTCCATTAAAGACAGTAACAAAAGAAGAATGAACAGTGTCATTCTAAGCATTAAGTGCTGTACTAGAAGTCTTAGCTAAGTCATAAAGAAAAAAAAAAGAAATTAAGAGATGGAAACTTTAGAAAGAAATAAAAATTGTTATTATTTGTTGATTGTTTAATTTAAAATTCTAGAGAATTAAAAACTGTAGGATTAATAAGAGAATTCAATAGGGTATCCAGAAACAAAATCAACATTTAAATTCATCCTCAACTGAAGAAAATATAGAAAAATACTCTATTGACAATAGCAATTAAAAATTCTAAATCCTTAAGTGTGAACCTGACATAAAATATATAACATCTATGTGGCAAAAACTGCAAGATATATTTGGGCAGCTAAAATAATTAGTCACTCTGAAGATAACACAATGAAAATTATTGTATCCAAGGAACAAAAATAAAACATTTGAAGAAAAGTGAACAGAGTCTAAGGGACCTATGGGACCCATCAAGTGAACCAACATATGAATTCTGGGAGAGCCACAAGGAGAAGAGAAAAAGAAAGGGACAGAGAAAAAAAGTGAAGAAATAATGACAAGAAAGTTCCCAAAATTGATGAATACATGAATATTAATGTCCAAGAAGCTCAGTGAACTCCAGGTAGAATGAATCAAAGACACTCACATCAAAACTGTCAAAAGACAAAATGAGAAGTTTGAAATCAGCAAGAGAAAAGTAACTTATCACATACAAAGGATCCTCAATAAAATTATCGGTGATTTCTCATCAGAAACTTTGAAGACCAGAAGGAAGTGTGCCAATATATTCAGAGAGCTAAAATAAATATATAAACAAACAAACAAACAAACAAACCTGTCAACCAAGAAACCCATGTCCAGCAAAACTGTCCTTTAGAAGTGAGGGAGAAATTGAGACATTTCCAGATAAACAAAAGCTGAGAGAGTTTATTACCACTGGAACTGCCCTGAAAAAAAAATGCTAAAAGGAGCCCTACAGAATAAAATGAAAGGATACTAGACAATAAGTTCTCCCTTATCAGTAGATATTTTAAATATAAATAAAT